CTGGAATTTCTGGTTTTGGAAAATCCTCGTGACAAGCTTGATTCCCACGACACGGTAACCTAACCTCCACTGAGAGAATTTCTTTGGAAAAATTCATGCACATCACTGAAAAATTGATAAATTTTAGGTGTAAATGATTGGTTTGACTGTGTTAGTTTCTCCTAAAAAAATTCCTGAAGCCTATGTCTTTTTATTGATGGATTCTGAGCAAACAAAGAATAAATAATGTCTTCTAGGGAAAGAAATGAGTTCACTTCATCAAATATGAAAGTTTCACGCGAGATACGGGTGGATATATCTACTGACCCGATGCTGCAATTTCCCAGTCGATACGGCGGGGCTGTTAATTTATTAATGGCCCGTGGAAGCCCATCCTTCCCAAATGATCGAGTGATTTCAATTTGGGCAAGTAACGCGTACACCCAATGGTCTCGTTCCACATTTCGCATCGTTTTTCCCCAGTTATTTCTCAGTCCACACCAGGTTTCCTTCTTTCACAAATAAACATGGCCGCCGATGTATCGATTTTAAATTCTTTCCGATTCCCCAACCCACTCCATATGAATTCTTAATACCAGGTGCAGAGATTCCGTATCAATTAATTAATTCTGTCTAATTAATTTCCATTCGTATGTTTAAAACTCTAGTTTGTCTAGAAATATTTTCCCGCCATTTTTTTACCTTGCAATACCAACCTCCAATGAAACGCTAAAATATCCCTAGATGGGGATTAAACCACTGAGCTCTATCCTAACGAATATCTCCTTAACGAAACCTCGGACAACATTTTCGCCAAGGAAAAAGTTATTTGAAATCATCTCCACCTTGTATATACAGGGTGTCCCAAAAATGTTGTAACACCTTGAAAAGGGTGGTTCGGGAGGTGATTTGAAACAACTTTTTCCTTAGCGAAAATGTTGTCCGAGGCTTCGTTAAGGAGATATTAACGGAAAACACTGACCAATCAGTGCGCGAGTATGGCGGTGGAGCGCCAGCAGTAGGCGTGGCTACGCGTTAGGCGGCCGAGCTCATACGCTACCGCGACCGCTCCATCGGCATACTCGCGCTCTGATTGGTCCGTGTTTTCCGTTAATATCTCCTCAACGAAGCCTCGGACAACATTTTCGCTAAGGAAAAAGTTGTTTCAAATCACCTCCCGAACCACCTCATTCAAGAACTTCCAACATTTTTGGGACACCCTGTATATATCGTAGTCTAGCGCCGCGAGTGGACGAAATATTCATAACTTGAAGCTCGGGATTTTGATAACAGTCTTCTAGTAACTTTCGTATGGAGTTGGATCTCCTTATACAGTCCTCATGGTTTTGGTGTTGGAGGAGCACCAGTGGAGATTACAGAGACATTTGGCGTGCGCTGGGAACACTCTAAACTAGTGGATGCTCTCCCTCGGCGCGTATCGATCGTTTCGTCCTCGTTTCTCGAAGGGAAGTAACTTCTGGCGTCCTTAGTTTCGCCAAAAATTTGCGACTACGTGGGTACTTTGCTAGGAAGGTGCATTAGCCGAACGGTAACACCCTTGGAAACCTTTTAGTAACGGCGACGTGTTAAGTGACATTGATTGCTTACCATATTGCCGCATCGCGGCGGAAACGCGTGAAGATCTCGAAGACTTTGTCAGCATTAATCAATTTTTATCAGTTTTCATCAACTTTGATCAATTTTTCGTGCTAGGTCTGTTTCGAGTGTGATCACTTTTTTTATCAATTTCATTTTAATTTTGATCTATTTTGATCGGTTCAGAACAATATCAATTAATTTTGATAAATTTGTCCCAATTTTTGTCACTTTTTATCAATTCTGATGAATTTTCATCAATTCTTATTGATTTCAGGAAGAGGGTATGACTCACCGAACTCATGCAGTGGCGAAAACACGTGCGCATCAAGTACGGTGGTCGAGTCGGTGTCGGTCAAGGGCAGCGGGAGCGGGAGCAGGTGCAGCTGCAGGTGCGTGTGTTGCAGCTGCAGTGGGAAGGGGGCGCACGGCTCAGCTACGTCTGTCATCAGCCTCAACTCTCGTCGACGGCTCGCCGCAGCTGCAGCACAGCGGCCATGCTCTGCTGCGGCCGCAGAAAAGTGAGTACCCTTTTCGCTTCCGTGATATATGTATATGCATGCTCGTTGTAACGAGATCCTTCAGGGCGAGGGGGTAAACGACCCCTTCGACTCCTTGGACGTCGGAATCGAGTTCGGTGACGGCGAGATACGTGAGTCGTTTGGAAGCGATTCAATCGAGCGATATGGATCATTATTGATCAGTAGTTGACACGAGTAGTGGGTGGATATTATTGACAAGAGACAATTTTCATCAATTTTTACCAATTCGTATCGATTGTTTTACTCGATTCATTTTGATTTTGATCTATTTTGGTCAGGTCAGTTCTATTTTAATCATTATTCATCAATTCCTATCAATTTTTATCAATACCTATCAATTCTTCTCAATTCCTATCAATTCGTATCAATTTTTATCAATTTTTATCAATACCTATCAATTCTTCTCAATTCCTATCAATTCGTATCAATTTTTATCAATACCTATCAATTCTTCTCAATTCCTATCAATTCGTATCAATTTTTATCAATTTTTATCAATACCTATCAATTCTTCTCAATTCCTATCAATTCGTATCAATTTTTATCAATTTTTATCAATATCCATCAATTCTTCTCAATTCCTATCAATTCGTATCAATTTTTATCAATACCTATCAATTCTTCTCAATTCCCATCAATTCTTCTCAATTCCCATCAATTCGTATCAATTTTTATCAATTTTAATTCGAAATCTCAGCTTTAGTCACCAATATATGAATGCATAACAAAATACCAATATCAAATGAAATGTGTAATTTATTGTAACAAAATTACTCAATTCACAATCAACCAATTGACAGTTTAACTATTGTTATCAGTTTTCATCAATTTTTATCTATTTTGATCAGTTCAGTTCAATTTCGGTCACTATCGATCAATATTAATTAATTTCGATCAATTCTTACTAATTCTTATTGTCAATTCTTATCAATTTGGATCGCGATGAAGAATGAACCATATTGCAAAATCTTGAAACTTAACTCATCGAGTTTCAGCTCGTCGTCGGGAAGACCTTCCAGCGCGCTGCTTTTGATGCTCGTTGAAGGGAGTGTCCCCCCTTTGTGCCGGCGTAGCACTTTTAACACTCGCCGAAGGGTGGCTTCCACTCTCTGCCGGCGTTTCATGTACCGCGATGCAAAAAACAGTTTACGAGTTTTCTACGAAATATGGCACAGAAAAAGCGTTCGATATTAGCAAGGTCTGAGCAACGTTTTCACCGTTGGGGAACTGCATTCGTGCATTGGATGCCTATCTTTGGAATTAATTCATTAATTTGTCCGTGAGATTTCATTGAAAATTCACAAAAAAATTCTGAAACACAGGTTGCAAACATTTGTTGAGAATTTGTCGTCAGATTCATAATCATGGACCACAAAAACTATAATATACCACTTTTTACGCAAATC